CTAGAACTAGCTCCCTGAAGTCAAATTTCTAGTCTCCTAAACTGTGAGAGAATAAATTTGTTTGTTAAAGCCATCCACTTGTAGTATTTCTGTTACACCAGCACTAGATAACTAAAACATGTCACCTTCCAAGGTTTTAGTTTTAAAAATAAAATCATATTGGGACCTCTCATCAAAAACAAAAATAAAAATCATACTGGGAACCCTCATAGAGGCTAAACTTTCCAAAGCCACAGAAGAATCTCACATAAAAATAAGTTAAAGAGAATAGATTTTTTTTCTCAAAAATTATGCCAGGATGCAAAGTAAAATTACTATCAACAAAGTTGTGATAGTTGGAGCTGTGTGTCAACTTGGCTGAACCACAATTCTGTATGGTTTAAGCAACTGTGATGTGGGTTATTCCCATGATGGGATTGAAGGTATTTGTTTTGAGCAGCCAATCTGTTGAAAGGGAGTTTCCCTAGGGGTGTGGCCTGCTTCCAATATATTTATGGACATCCTGGGAAAAGAGACACAAGATCTTCTGTGGATCAGGATCCTGTTGTGGTACCTACAACTGTCCATAAGCGAACAATCCACCATTCAGTCTATTTATCAAGTGACTCAGAAAGCTGCTAGTTTTGAGTGGAGCCCAGAACAACAGAAGGTTCTGCAACAGGTTCAGGCTGTCATGCAGGCTGCTCTGCCACTTGAGCCTTATGATCCGGCTGATCCAATGGTGCTTGAAGTGTCTGTAGTAGATAGAGATGCTGTTTGGAGTCTTTGGCAGGTCCCTATGAGTGAATCGCAACACAGACCCTTGGGATTTTGGCACAAAGCCCTGCCATCCTCTGCAGATAACTATTCTCCTTTTGAAAAACAGCTTTTGGCTTGTTACTGAGCTTTAGTAGAGATCAAACGCCTAACCATGGATCACCAAGTAACCATGAGGCCTGAGCTGCCCATCATGAACTGGGTGTTGTCTGACCCACAGAGTCATAAAGTTGGACATGCACAGCAGCACTCCATCATTAAATGGAAGTGGTATATCAGAGATCGGGCTTGAGCAGGACCTGAAGGCACAAGTAAGTTGCATAAGGAAGTGGCCCAAATACCTTTGGTCTCCACTCCACTCACATTTCCTTCCCTGTCCCACTCTGCACCTATGGCCTCATGGGGAGCTCCTTACGATCAGCTGACTGAGGAAGAGAAAATTCATGCCTGGTATACAGGTATCTGTAAGATATACAGGCGCCACTTGAAAGTGGACAGCAGCAGCACTGCAGCCCCTTTCTGGGACTTCTTGAAGGACAGGGGTGAAGGGAAATCCTCCCAATGGGAAGAACTTCAAGCTGTGGATATGGCTGTTCACTTTGCATAGAACAAGAAATGGCCAGATATGCAACTGTATACGGATTCATGGGCTGTGGCTAATGGCTTGGCCAGATCGTCTGGGACTTAGAAGAAGCATGATTGGAAAATTGGTGACAAAGATGCATGGAGAAAAAGTATGTGGACAGATCTCTCTGAATGGGCCAAAGGAGTAAAGATATTTGTGTCTCATGTGAATGCCCACCAAAAGGTGACCTCAGTAGAGGAGGTCTTTAACAATCAGGTGCATTGGATGACAAGTTCAGTGGAAACCAGTCATCTTTTTTCCCTAGATACTCCCGTCATTGCTCAATGGGCTCATGAACAAAGTGGCCATGGTGGCAGGAATGGAGGTTATGCATGGGCTCAGCAACATGGACTTCCACTTACCAAGGCTGACTTGGCTACTGTCGCTCCTGAGTGCCCAATCTGTCAGCAGCAGAGACCAATACTGAGTCCACAATATACAACAATTCCTCAGGATGATCAGCCAACAACCTGGTGTCAGGTTGATGACATTGGACCACTTCCATCATGGAAAGGACAGTGCTTTGTTCTTACTGGAATAGATACTTATTCTGGATATGGATTTGCCTTCCCTGCACACAATGCTTCTGCCAAAATTACCATCCGTGGACTTACAGAATGCCTTATCCACCACATGGTATCCCACACAGCATTGCCTCAGATCAAGGGACTCACTTCACAGCAAATGAAGTGTAGCAATGGGGCTATGCTCATGGAATTCACCGGTCTTATTATGTTCCCCATCATCCTGAAGCAGCTGGCCTGACAGAACAATGGAATGGCTTACTAAAAACACAATTACGGCACGAGCTAGGTGGCAACACCTTGAAGGGTTGGGACAATCTCTCCAAGAAGCTGTATATGCTCTTAACCAGCATCCAATATACAGTGCTGTTGCTCTAACAGCCAGGATTCATGGGTCCAGTAACCAAGGGGTGGAAACGGGAGTGGTACCACTCACATTTACCCCTAGTGACCCACTCAAAAAATTTTGCTTCTTGCCCCTGCTACCCTATGCTCTGTGGGTCTGGAGATCTTAGTCCCACAGGGAGGAACACTCCCACCTGGAAACACAATACTGACTGCATTGAACTGGAAATTAATAATGCCATCCGGCCATTTTGGCTTCCTCATGCCTCTGGATCAACAGACAAAGAAGGGCATTACTGTGCTATCTGGTGTAGTAGATTCTGATTACCAAGGGGAAACTGGATTGACATTACATAATGGAGGTAAAGAAGAGTATGTCTGGAATACAGGAGATTCTGTAGGATATCTCTTAGTACTACCATGCCCTGTGATTAAAGTCAATGGAAAATTACAGCAATCTAATTCTGATATGACTACTAATAGTCCAGACTCATCAGTAATGAAAGTTTGGGTCACCCCACCAGGCAAAAAACCACGTCCAGCTGAGGTACTTGCTGAGGGCAAGGGAAATACAGAATGAGTGGTGGAAGAAGGTAGTTCTGAGTATCAGCTACAACCACATGACCAGTTGCAAAAACAAGGACTGTGATTGTTATATTTCTTCGTTGTATATGTGCATAAAATATTTGTTTCCTTCTGTTATGAACTATGAAATGTAAATAAGGTTAATGTGTTTCAGTTGTATGCATGTTAGCGTATCATGTTAGGCGCAAATATGACTTTATAATTGTCCTTATTTAGAGATTATATATGGTTAAGAAGATGTGTACAACTGTCAAGCTGACAAGGGGTGGACTGTGATAGTTGGAGCTGTGTGTCTACTTGGCTGAACCACAATTCTGCATGGTTTAAGCAATAGTGATGTGGGTTATTCCCATGATGGGATTGGATGTATATGTTTTGAGCAGCCAATCTGTTGAAACGGAGTTTCCCTAGGGGTGTGGCCTGCTTCCGATATATTTATGGACATCCTTGAAAAAGAGACACTCTTCTGTGGATCGGGATCCTGTTGTGGTACCTACAACTGTCCATGAGCAAACAATCGACCATTCAGCCTGGAGATCTTGGATTCATCATTCATTGGAGTCAACAGCCAGTATACCGCCTGCGAACCTTGAGCTCATTAGCCCCTGCAGCTGCAAGAGTTGGGAAAAGCTTCCAGCTTGACATTTGAACCAAGAACTTGCAACTTGCCAGGTTCTATAAGTATGTGAGCCATTTTCCTAAGATAAATTTCTTTCTCTATATGTGTATATAATCTTTACTGGTTTTGCTTCTCTAGAGAACCCAGCCTAACACAAATGTTCTTTTATGACCTTGGATAAATCAGCATAGAGTTGAACGTTGGGGGCTCAATGGAGACCTCTAGACATTTGGTCCCTATACCTTACACAGAACACTAATGGACTTTTGCTTGTCCTACAGAGCCGCCATGAAAAACAGTAAAAGGCTAACTAACCATTTCTCAATGTGGTAGTACCAAAAGAAAAAAAAAATTTAAGTGTGTCAGTCCACATAATAGAAAGGAACTTGTTGCTCTTACCAAAGCAAGATAGGAACCAACTTGAACAGATCTACGTAAGGGTGGCTGTTAAAGTATGAAATTGGTACACATCCTCAGAAAAATATCACTGTAATAAGATTATGGCTATCTCCCACTTAAGAGCCATAACAGCCTCCCTTACCATAAGCTGTTACTTACGAAAAAGAAATATCTAGTCTCTTATTTTATCTTTATACAAGCTAAAGTTAAGGTTTTCAACAAAAAGATTACAATCACAAGCCATGCAAAAAAAAAAAAAAAACAGGAAAGTGTAAGTTGTGAATCATACACCAGAAAAAGAAAAATCAGTCATTAGAAACTCTCTCTGAGAGAGCCAAGATGTTGTACTTAGAAGACTGAAGTCATAAATATGTTCAAAGAACTGAAGGAAAGTATTAACAACACTTAAAACAAATACAATTATCTATTTCCTTTTTAAGCTTCCCTCACCCCCACTTCTCTCCCCAAATCTTTTCTTTTTCCTTTAAATTCCATAATGATCCCGACAACTAATAATCTTCATGGAAAGAAGCTCACTAAGTAAAGCCAAAGGCCAAAATCCAAAATGTATGTACTTTAAATCTTCATAGAAATTCAACTACAGCTAAAAAGAAAAAAAAAAAAAATCAAGTATGGCTTAATGGAAGATAAAATAAGACATTAAACATTCTAGAATTAAACTGATTAAAATTGTAAAAATTACTTTCTTTTAGACTCATTACTTAAATATGTACCAAAAACACTAAAACTACCATAAATTTATTCTTTCTATGTAAATGACTGAAATTTTAAAGTCAATGTTGAAATCATCTAAAAGTCAGAACAAATAACAGTGCAAAATCAATTTCAGTGAGGCATTCTTATATGAGGTAATACAAATTCTGAAAATTTCATCAAATCTAAGCCAGTAATTACATGATGAATCCTTATTTTATATATCACTTAAAAAAAAAGGTTGTCAATAAATATATTATCAATTGTAAGAGGCACCCCACTATAGGTGATATTAAAATATAAAGAAAAAAGTATCCTGAGATCCATGAAATACTTTCATATTTTTATATCCATCTATTTTTTTGTAATGCAAATGTGATTTATATTCTTCTTTAATCAAAACCACTGAAGTGGAAAAATCACAATCTCTTACCTTCTGTACTACATGTAGCAAAGCTATCAAGGAGGGAGTCCGAACAAGCTTCAGCAGGACCAATCAACTCAGAACCATCATTAATTACTCCACCCTAAAAGATCAGATTAATTGTGTTTCAATGTCATTAAGAGCATAAACATGAAAAAATCAGTAATAAATGAATAACCACCTAACTATGTATAAGGACTACAGAAAGATACATTAAACAAGATTATAATTGCTTTTTCATAATTAAAAGGAACACTATCATGTGTTTATAATATGTGGTTTTTATGAAAATAAAATAACTGATTACAACTCATGGTGACCTCATGTGTTACAGAGTAGAACTGCTTCATAAGATCATCTTGGTTATAATCTTTACAAAAGCAAATCACCAGGCCTTTCTTCTGTGGCACCGCTGGGTGAGCTCAAAGCACCAACCGTTAGGTTAGTAGCTGAGAACAAATGATCTGTACCACCCAGGCTTGTGGCTTTTGTAAATGCATATTACTTTACATCTATCAAAAATATTTATTAAAAAATAAATAAAAGGAGAAGAAAACAAAGTCTTAAGGAGGAAAAAATATACAAGCTAAAGAATATCATTCAGTATCCTTAGTAATGGGTCATTTTAATTAATGATAAATGATGGAATCCCTTCAGTGAGTCATTTTATCAACTTATAAACTACAGCCTATTACATAGCACCTCCCTGGGGATCTGGTGATCTCAGAAGCCATTTAAGTTTGAAAACTACTTGTATACAACACAGGGAGATAAATAAAGTATTTTAACCAAAGAAACATATTTTTAAAGACATAGAAAATAGTTATAAAATTATTTTCTACATATGACCACCCTTTTAGTTCTATATTCAGGCACACAAATCTAGGTCTCAAAAAACTATTTTACCTTAATTTATATGCAACTACAGAGCAACGTCATCAGGCAAGTAGTGCTTCCATGATTTTGCAATGTGGCTTTATGGAAGGAGTGCTCCAATTACAGGTGTAAGAGATTACAGTCCTTAAATAATTATAGCTAACTAAAATAATAAGTCTCCTGTTCCATCCTTCCTTCTACCTTCCAACAACAGTACTAAATCCCTAAAGACTACTATCAGGATACCAAAACCCAAGACACATTTAAATAAAAAAGAAAAAGAAAGGTGACATCAAGTCAAGTCCATTGAGTCAAAGCAAACCTCATGTGTATCAGAGAAGAACTGTGCTCCACAGAGTTTAATGGCTGACATTTTAGAAAAAGATCACCAAGGCCTTTCTCCCAAGATGTCTCTGGATAGACTCAAACCTCCAACCATTCGATTAGCAGCCAAGTTCTCTAACTGCACCACCCCAAGACTCTACCTACCTCAGCACAAAGAACTCAATGACTATCTTCACCTAATCAGAAGCCTCCCTGTCTGTCTTTGAGCAAGAGAAATTTGAAATGGTTCCTTTCAAGATATCAAATTTCACTCCTGAGTTGTTGTTGTTATTTGCCATCAACTCAGACTTGACTCATAGCAACCCCTCCTTGGATTTCC